AGTACAATCAAAGGCCCCAGTTGTCCTTGGGTGGGGTAGGACTCAGCACAACATACAGCTTGGAAAGAAGTCAAGTGAATGCAGACAAGCAGACAATAGGAGAAGGGGTAGACTCCCCCTAGTCAGTTTGAGGTCTTCTTGCTGAATATTTCTACTCACCACAACCCCTCTCATTTGGGAAGCCTTATTAATTGTCAGCGCACTTTTGCATCTGGCTTTACAACAGCCCAGGAAGATTACAATCATTCCAATCTTGTCAATGGCTAATAGAGATACAGGGACTGGCTCAAGGGCACACAGCTGGCAGTGGCCAAGCTGGGGTTAGAACCAAGTCTCCTGTTTCGGAGGCCCACAGGCTCCTCCCTGCAGCCTTGTGAACCTTGCCGAGGTTCACAAGAACAAAATCTGGGCAGACTGAAGACACGAGAAGGCTCTTAGCCACAGCTCTGCTAATTTAAGGGAATTAGCAGGGAGGTCCCTCACCTGGGGGATCAGGATTTCTTCCCCTTTATTCCAGACTAATGGGTATGGATGCCACCTTCATATAGTCTTCATAGTTCCACAAGCTTAGCTGCTGTGATGTGTCAGGCAAAGGGAGTTGAACTTCAATCAGGAGTGCAGTCACCCTAGCTAGTCACCTCCACACTCTGGATTTCCTCTTCTATTTAAAATACAAATTAGTTGGGAGTGGGTGGGGATGAAGGAGAAGGGGAAGGGATGAGACAATACAAATTGGTAACTACAATATGGCCTCAGGGATAGAAAAGACAGTTTGGGGAATATAATCAATAATGTTGTAAATATTTCTTAGGGGGACAGATGGACTCATGTCTTGTTAGGGAGACCACTTCATAGTTGGTGTAGAGGCCTGACCACCGCACTGTATTTCTGAAGCTGATGTTGAATAATATTGTATGTCAACTATAATTATATATACATATAGTCACGGGACATGGAGTAGAGAGTAGGAACGGAGTCAATGGGATTGTAATAGATAAGTATGATATCGGGGGTGGGAGGGCAGTAGATGGGGGGAGGGGAGTTGTTACTTTGTGAGGGTGAAAAGGATAACTATTGCATTGTTCTGTACACCTGAAACTAACAATAAAAAAATAAAATAAAATGCAAATCTGTCGTGTTTCTCTCTCCTGCTCCAAACACTTCAGGGATGGGTGCCTATCACCCATCCAGCTAAAATTCAAACCACTCCCCATTCAAGCTTGAGTAGAGAGGGGCATTCGGAAGGGGATCTGTCCCTTCTGAGCTCTTTATATGCAGCCAGGTGGGAGTCAGGCAGGCAGTAAAGGGAGGTGGACATTAATTAGGCTATGTAGCAACAGCAAGAAAGCTACTCCTGGGGCTGGGGCTGGCCCTTGGTGACCCCTTCATCTTACATCTGTGCTTCTCCTTGACCCAGTAATACCAAGTGCTCCCAGGCAGCTTCCTTCCCTCTGTCTTCTCGGAGTCGGTTCCGTCTAGGGCTGTCTCCCTGTTATGTGCTCTGACACAGTGATCACAAGGTCTGGAACTTCCCTAATCACCAGTCCAGAGACAGAAACTACAAGTTGTGCCTGTTACCACACTCGAGCATGGCCTTCCTACCCACTCAGAGATGCCCACCCTACCCCCCCAGTAAGGCCTGTTTAGAGGCATCATCTTGAAGATCAAGATGAAGTAAACTGAAAATGAGACAATGGAATCATCTAGACCTCAAAATTGGCCCTAAAAATTTTCCAGTGTGGTCATGGGGACAAGATGTCTACCCAGTTCTGCCCACAGGTTCTCTGGGGCTCAGCACATTCTGTTTATCCACAACACTCAGTCCTGAGCTGTTCCACCTCCCCCTACCTTCACTCTCTCAACTCACTAAACATTTGTCTTTTCCAAGAACTCTTCCAAGATTGGGAAGGGCATTGATAATATGGTGGTAAAAGCATGAGCTTTGGAGCCATAATCTCTGACATAATCTTTAACTTGCCATCTGTAAAACACTGATAATGATGCCAATTTTGCAGGGTGGTAATAGGATTCAATGAGACAATGTCTGTTCATTAATCAGGGTTGTAAATACTAGCTGCTATACAAAATTCCAGAATCTCAGTGGCTAGATACAAGAGTTCACTCCTCACTCAAGTCATGGGCTGACATAAACTGAAAGGGTCTTTCCTGGATAGCTCTCCTCCAGATGGTGATTAGAGGACCCAAGCTCTTTCCATCCTCCACTGGGCTCCCTCCATCTGGCTGACAAAACAGCAAAGACAGAGAGACCAAGCCAGGAAGTGGTGCCCATCAATCCAACTTTACAATGGCTAAAACCCAGTCACATATTCCACATAATTGCAAGGGAAGCTAGGAAATATAGTTGTCCTGTGTGCCCAGGAATAGCAAATAGGATTTTTAACCACCTAGCCAGTCTCTGCTACAATATGTTAAGTATTTAGTATAGTGCCTGATACATAGTAAGAGCTCAGTAAACAAAACACACTATTATAATTGCTTTCTACTATCTGTTCCAATACCGGTATGAATACCAGAAATCACAGAACCATACGGTGGACGTTTCAGAACACTGAAAATGAATAATTGAATACAAACCAAAACCAACATGAATTGGGGAAAAAAGATATGGTAATCATATGTCTGACGTAATTCCTATTCTATGTGCTTTCTATGAGGCAGCAGGATACATTGGAATAGCTTACATTCAAATGCTGGCTCTGCCCTGGGCAGAACATTAGCCTATGTCAACCATGGGGTTCTTCTCATCTTACAACAAGAATGCTAATTTACCCACTTTGCAGCATTCTTCAAAAATGCCATATTCCTTCATCTCTAAGTATATATTTCCTTCTGTCTGGTATACCCTTTCTATCTGACTTCACCCAGCTACCTCCTACTTATCCCTCAAGTCTCAGCTTGGATGTCACCTCCCCTTGGAAGCCTTCTCTATCTTCCACCCCAATTGTGGTGGAATGCCTCTTTCCTGTAGTCCCTTTCCAGAACACTTAACACAATACATTAAAATCTCTGTTCACTTCTGTCTCTAGTTAGATTGTAATTTCTTGGGGCAAATGACCTTGTTTTCATCACCATTTTAACCCACCCTCAATACATTGTCTGGCTCATAATGAGTGTGCCATAGTATTTGTCATGTGAATGAATTGAGAATCCTGGTCCTTTTTTCAAACAATAATGGGGTAAGACTTTTAAACTCTTATAACTCAACAAAAAAGTAAAGAAAAGTTTTAGAAAGAAACAGCACAGTATACTCCTCAGTGGTAACCAAAAAGTCATTTCAGGAAGCAGCCACACCCCTTGGGTCATGCCTGGGTACTTCTAAGCAATTGGCCACTTTTAATTTTTCAGTTGGGTAACAGACGGTGCAAAAAACATCATCACACACTAACAACCCTGGTGCTCTTCCTCCCAGCTGATCTGAGAGTCTGGCAACAAGAGTTGTTGTTGGCAACAAGGACTACTTAGGGTAGCCCTGACGGACCATGTGTCCTGTTGGGCCTGCATATACCACTCACTCTCCACTATCCATGTACCTGGGGCATCCCTGACCTTCATGATCATCATGGAGTGGCTCAGTTGGTTAAGAGTTGGCTTAAGAGCGCGAGCTCTGAGCAACAGGGCTGCTGGTTCGATTCCCACATAGGACAGTGAGCTGCGCCCGAGCTGAGCTGCCAACAGATGGTAAAATGGCTCAGCTGGTATAACAACAAGATTGCCTGTTCAATGGTGGGCTATGCCCACCTGCAACTAAGACTGAACTCAGCACCTTGAGCTGAGCTGCCGCCTGGATGGCTCAGTGGATAGAGTATGTGCTTTTAACAACATGGCTGCCGGGTTTGACTCCTGCATGGGATGGTGGCTACGCTCACCCACAACTAAGATTGAACGCAGCACCTTGAGCTTAGAGGCCACAAGCTGCCAACGGGAAGCCAGATGGCAACTGGTGCCCTCCACAACTAAGATTGAAGAACACCAACTTGTCTGGTCCCCTTCCCCAGTGCCCCATCACTGTTCCCCTCCCCCCAATTCCCCAATAAAACCTTTAAAAAAATTTAAAAAAAAAAAGCTAGGCCTTTCTAGTCCCACATTCTCAGACACAGGATGGGACACTCCCTCCCCATACACACACATACTCTGAAGCAGATGTCACCATCCAACAAAAGTGAAGCACACAATGTTTGTCTCCCAATCCCTTACACTTTTTGGTGCATCTGGAAGTGACAGATGAATCAAGCGACACACAGGTATGGGTTACTGATGCTGTGTTAGCCAGTTCTCCAGGGTTGCTATTACCCAGCAGGGAAAAAAAAAAAACACAAAAAAAAACCCACCTCCAAACCTCAGATTTCAGGCAAGCGAGAGAGAAGCCAAAAGCGGATAGGAGACGTCATGGACACTCCTCCAAAAATATTGTCAAGTAGAGCGCTGCGTACTTTACAGTTGGTTTAGCTCACAGCCCTATACTAAGACGACAGACACCATGACTTATCATACACATGTCCTCGCAAACATATCTTGAGAGCCTGGGACAATCTTCTTCCCCAACTCCAAGATGCCACGGCCACAGCTCTAATCCCCACCCTATTCATCCCGTAAAATAATCTCTGACAATCTCACCCCATCTTCCACACTCAAAGGGACAAGGCTATCCCTTGCCACCTGCACCCCAACACACACACACACACACACACACACACACACACACAAAACCCCCCAGGCTACCCAGACCACTTTCACTCGATCGCACTGGGGGGCCACAGGGTCGGGGAGGATAGAATTGGCCGGAGCCGGGAACCCGCCCCCGGACTGTTCGCATCCTCCCAGCGCCTACATCCTCCCAACCAGCGGGGTCGGTTGGTGTTCTGCTGCGGGTACGTGGCGTTGCACAAGCTCCGGGACGCAGCCGCAACCTCGGGGGGCGTGACGTATCGAGGCCCCGCCCCTCTGACGTCAGCCTCGCGGGGCGCGGGTGGGGCAGACTGCCAGTTTTCAGTCACAGTTTCGCGTAGCGGTGGCTGAAGGTGCTTAGTCCGGCTTCGGCTTCGGCTCTGGCTCCAGAGGATGCGGCGCTTCCAGGATGCTGCCGCACCTGGTAATGCTGCTGGCGGCGCTCCTCAGCCTGCGCCTCTGCCCCCGCGCGCACGGTAAGGATCGGGGCCCTGCCCTCTCCGCGCCGGTCCGGCTGTGGTTTTGTGGGTGGCCAAACCCGACTCCCACAGTCGGCACCCCTACATTAAAGTTCTGTGTCCCACAGGAAACCCCCTCTAGGGAGAGGGTCACCCATTATCCCCCTTCTTCCTGAATCTCCTCATTCTGGCAAGCCTGGGTCTCAGGATCACCCGTTGTGGAAGTGGAAGAAGCTGATTGCTTGGAGGGGTGGGGGTTTGTAGGTAGAGAAGTTTAAATGACCCTCTTCCCCAACTAATCGCCCACCCACCTCCTGATGAGTCATAAATTTATCGCTGGCTTTTTTTGCAGTTCAAATGATGAGACAGCTTGTCCCTCTGGGGAATTGCGTTGATTCCCCATCTGACTATTTCCCTTAGCCCTCCCACTAACCTGTTTCTGCCCTGTGCATTTCACCTCCATCCCAGCTCTTTTCCTCCACTACGCCTGTCACCCCCATCTCCTTCCTCATCCCTGTTTCTTCTTTAGCCCCTAATGCACTCCCACGGCTACCTGCCCCCTTTCTCCCTTTTCCTACCCCTTAGCTCAGTCTCTTAACCCAGCCAGCTGTCCTGGAAAGTTTCTGCAACTGAGAAGAGTAAACCCTGGAGAGAGAGAGAATGAAAGGGCCATAAGGTGGAAGGACCAAGAACAGAGGCAGGTCCAGCAGGGACTGAAACTGCTTCCACTCTCCAAAATACAAAGTAAAACATGCAATCAGCCATTCACATGACCGAGAGCTGAGCTGGGGATGTGCAGCCCAAACACCACAAAGACCCACTGCATTTTTCACTTTCCATTTACTGCTTTGAAATCAAGACACAGGCTTGAAGGTCAAAGACAGCATAACAAAGAAAGCAAGGGACAGGGACAGATGCACTTTCTAAGTGAGAATGACAGTCATAAAAAAGAAGCATTATTAGAGAGACGGTAAGAAGTTAGAGAACAAGGGAAGCCTGAAAGAGTCGCTGATAGACGAGAGACATTAAGGGACCAAGGAAGACAGAAAAGAAACTGAGTGTGGATATTGGCCTTGACCTATTTCATTGCACTTGATAGGCAAGACTCTTAACATGGGTGTATTTGCACTCTTACAAATGAGAGAACAACTTCAGCAAGGTTCAATAATTTGCCCAAGTCACACTGGCAAGTGCTAGTTTGAGGCTCCAGAAGTTGGCATTTCTCATGGTGAATGGTATGTGTTGGGAGGGAGGGGAAAACAGAAGATGGAGATGGCACTAGTATTTATTATCTCACCTTGGAGCCAAGGGTGCTAGCTCTTTGTAGAAATGTCCTCAGCCCAGTCTAGAACCAGAGCTGCTTCATTTTGTCTGTTCTCACCCAGCCTGAGGCTGGGCATCTAGCTATAGATAAAGCCCTTCTAGAAGCTGGGGAATGGGGCAAGCCCTCAGCTTGGGGTTGCCCAGGAGATCTGTGAAGAGAAACAGGCAGACACCAACAAGCAGGATACGTGTGCACCCAAAGAACCCCAGAAGGGAGAGGGCCTCGGGCTGGAGCCAGGAGAGGGGTCAGGTGTGGGACCAGGTGTTGGGATTGGGGGCAGGTCTTGGGATGGGGCTGGAGCAGGGACAGGGTTTAGGCAGAGCCAGGGACTAGCTTATCCCAGAGCTCATTGTGGATATATCTTAGCCCTCACCCCCTGCCTCCTAACCTAGGATACATCAGGCTCAGCTTGGCTCTTCTCAGCCACCACTTCTGCTTCTAATCACAGACTGCTCAGGACAGTGATTTAAGGACACAGCATGAGCTCTGGAAACAGACACATCAGGATTCAAGGCCACACTCTTCCCCTTAACTAGCCCCATTGGCCTTGGACAAGTCATTTAACCTCTCTGATCCTTCATTTCTTCTCCGGCAAAATTGCGGCAATAAATGCCTACCTTATAGGGCTGTTGTGATCATTAAATGAGAGAATATATGTAAAGTATTTAGCAGAGCGCTCAGCTCATAGTAAAGTACTCAATAAATAGGAATCGTTAGAATGCTTGCCACCATCACCATCATCGGCTTTACCCCTGGGGGTGGGCCCTGCCAGCTCCGATACTCACACACTTCTTCTCCCCAGGGACAGAACTTCCCAGCCCTCCATCTGTGTGGTTTGAAGCAGAATTTTTCCACCACATCCTCCATTGGACGCCCATCCCTAATCAGTCTGAAAGCACCTACTATGAAGTGGAGCTCTTGGAGTAAGGAAAAGGGAGGATGGAGGAAGGCGGGAGGTGAAGGAGGGAGTGGGTGAGTCTGTCCCCTTCTACTGCCCTGGCACAGGAAGATACCTGCCTTGTTACTGAAGTCACACAGGAAGGACCCTGGCAATTATCCCCCAGTTGACGAGTACTGATTAAGTCTCATATGTGCTGAGCAGTCTGCTGGGAGCTCTGGGGTGAGAAAACCACAGTATTGTCTTTACCCTCAAGATTTTTCCATCTTATTGGAAAAACAGGAAAAGCACCCGTACTATGGTTGGAAAACAAGGAAATCCTAACGACTGCAGAGATAGCTGGGAGAAGGGAGAAATTAGGCTGTGTTGCAGGGACTAGCAAATCTTCCTGGAGGAGTTGGGATTTGAGCTACTTGTATTCCAATCTAAGAGCCTTCTAGACCATGGAGAAATTGGTACAGGGTCCCAGAACCAAGGGAGATCCCCTTACAATTAAATGCCGTGGACTAGAGAAATACCCTGAGGGCCGTACCATCATGGGAGCTCTCCTCCCTGGCCTCTTGTTTCCCTCTCAAAGGAAATAGGTTTGAACACAAGTCCCCCTACAATTGCCTTCCCCGATATCTCCCCAGGTATGGAATGAAGCCCTGGGAGCCCATCCCCAGCTGTAGCCAGACCCTGGTGCTGTCCTGTGATCTCACCATGGCGACCCTGAACCTATACCACAACAACGGTTACCTAGTCAAAGTCCGGGCAGTGAATGGAAGCCAGCACTCCAACTGGACCAGTGCCCGAACCCGCTTCACCAAGGATGAAGGTGCTTTTCCTCCCCTGGGCCTAGAACATGGCTTTTGGGGTCCATGCCAGCCAGAGGCTCTAGTCTAGAACTTTTCTCTCTGTTCCCATAACTTGTCATGTCAGCCCGGATTCCTGGCCAGGGACCTAGTTGTTCAAATAAGCCTGAGTCAGGACTTTGGAGGCTAGATGAAAATAGTCAAGTTTTTTCAAGATTTAAAAGGGAACTGGAGTTGTTTATCGTGTGAAGAGAAGTCTTGGGGTGAGGGGCAGCTTAATCACAAGGGCCAGGCCTGTGTACTTGGATGGTTTGGGGAGAGGAATCAAATCCGTAAGCACTCAGCATACAGTAGCAAGCAGCAGGTAGATTGAATCAGCCACCACCCCTTCAGGGATGAATTCCCAGGGGTCAGAGAGTGAGACTTTGAAGCGGGGAGGTGTTACTGAGGAAAAGTTGGGAGTCTCTCTCTGCAGAGATAGGAGAAAAGGACAGGCCCCAAACCCAAAGGGGTTCTTCCATTCTGCAGATTGGGATCCACTGTGCTCTCTGTGTGTGACGAGGCTGCTCTGCAGAATTCAGAATCAGAGCAGATGGTCTAGGATGGTCTAGTTCATTAGCTCCCAAATGCCTGCCTACAGGCCGGTGCTCAACTGGCTGCAGAAACATTACCTGGAGAGTGTGTTCAAAATACTGTATGTTTCCAGGGCCCAGCTTTAAAAATTCAGATTCACTGTCTTGAGTAGGCCCCGGGCATCTGTATTTTTAATGTGCTCCCCAGGAAGTCCTAATATTCTGCTAGGTTGGGAAACCTGTGGCCCAGGTTTTAGGGTGAGTAAAGCTTGACCCTGGGGGGCCAGGCACGGGTGGCGGTGGGAGGGTGTCCAGGTCCTCCCCAGCCTGCAGGCCTTACAGCTTTGCCTCCTTGCTCAGTGAGTCTGACAGTTGGCAGCGTGAAGCTAGAGGTGCACAACGGCGTCATCCATGGAAAGATCCAGCCCCCCAGACCTGAGATGGCCCCTGAAGGCGACATATACGAAAGCATCTTCTCACAGTACAGGGAGTATGAGATTGCAATTCGAAAGGATCCGGAACAGTATCAGGTATGGGATTCCTCAAGGCCACAGTTCCTGGGCTACCCCAACTTCCCTGCCACCTGAGCTGGAAGCACCTTCTGTGCACTGCAGGGGGACTTGCTAACAGGGTATAGGGAGGTCATCGGAGGGGTGGGGCTTGGAAGGGAGTTTAGATGACCTCAGCCCTCAAACGGATGCTCCTTCCCTGGGGGAAGGGAAGATACTGCCTACTAGGGGTCAGGCATCTCGCGAGACTTTTTGCAACTATTGTTTCCTGTCACTGTTGATGGTGGATACTTTATTCCATTTCATAGGTGGGCAAGTGAGGCTCCAAGGGACTATGTAATTGCCCAAGGAAACCCCCTTACATGGGAGACCCAGAATCCGCAAAACCCGTCCTCTTTCCTTCCCACCATAGTAGATTCCAGCCCTTCCTAAAGAGGTCCTCAGCGTCTATAAGATACTCCTACTCTTTGAATACAAACAAACACTCTTTTAACACAAAACAAATCACTGTAATCACAGAGATCTTGGGCTGTGCTGATAATACAGGGTTTGTTATCTTGGGAAAAGCACACTGAAGGGTGTTGGCCTAGATCATCTCTAACGGCCCTTCCAGCTCCCAGTTTCCATGTGTCATGAAACAAGGGTATTTTATTTATTGCTGTCATTGTTTCCATTTCAGCTCACAAACATGAAGAAGGTAAAACATGAAAACTTCAGCTTCCCAGCCCCTGGAGAGCTGGGAGAGTTCTGTGTCAAGGTGAAACCGTCTCTGAGCGACCGACTGAATAAGGGGATATGGTCTGAGGAGGAGTGCATCGTGCTGTACCGGCAGTGTGAGTCTGCGAGGGCTGCTGTCCCGATAGGGAGGGAGGCAGGAAGGGCCTCACGCAATCTGAAAAGCCGCTGGTGCCAGGCACTGTGCTAGGCACTCCCCCACATAGCTCTCCATCCTCACACAGCCCCGTGAGAGAGCTCCTGTTGTCCCTATTTTAGAGATAAAGGAAATGAGCCTCAGCGGATGGAAGCTACTTCCTAGAGCATGTTGGCAGAGCCAGGTCTCCTGATTCTGTGGCTGCTTCAATTTGAGCACAGCTGTGCTTACCAGGGACCCCCCCCACCCCCACCTCAGGCCACCCTCAGTCAGCTGTGGTAGTTCCTGTTTGTTACAGTCCTCTGCTGTCCTCTCTTAGAACTGGGGGGCATGAAGGGCCTTCTCCTCACCTCCCGCCCCTTCAGAGGAAGCAGAACTTAGCTGACTCCTCGCCACAGCTGCTAAACTCAACAAATACTGTGCCAGGCTCTCAGCCAGGCACTGACTGGGAAGGGGAAGGGACAGGAGATTTAGGATGTGAAGGTCATGATCCTGCCCTGAGGATCATACTGTCTGGCTCAGGGTGTGCCCAGAGCAAGCTGTTACTAGCAACTGGGGACAACATACGTCAAGTGCCCAGTGAATCATGCCAATAGTCAGCATACTGGGGGTGCTCAGTCCAGCGTGGGCAGGGTCCAGCAAAGACCAAAGTTGAGTCCTTACATTTCTACAGTATACTTCAGTTCACGAAGGACACTCACAAGCTCACTGTCATTTAAGCCTCCCTCTCACTTAAGCAGAGTCAGGCACCATCTGTGTGTTAGGCAGCCTTAAGATCTTTTTCTACGTTCACTCACTTGGGCAAGTTACTTAACCTCTCTGGACCTCAGGATCCTAATCTATAAAAATAGGGATGATAATAGTATTTCCCTCCTAAGGTTGTTATAAAGATCAGATAAGATAAGTAAAGGACTTGGTAGATGGCAGGTGCTGTATACATCACAACCATATCGGGTGGTTAAGTGCCATTATTTTTCCCCTGTTATAGATGAGGAAACTGAGGCTCAGAGAGACTAAGTAATCCATTCCCAGCCTCACAGCTAGTAAGTGGTATGGCTGGGATTTGAACCCAGGTCTGGCTGCCAAAGCCTCTCTGTCCTTACCTGCCCTACCATCCTGACTTCCTGCTCCATGTGTTGAGCCAATATGTTTAGTGAGGAACTCCTTCAGGGCCAAGGTTGGGAGACCAGGCAGGGATTCCCAAGAACCCATCTAGAATTGTGGCCTAGAGGTAACCTGGGGCAGTGGGGGTCAGCTGGGTCACTCACCGAGTGGCTCCCAAGAGTGGCCCTGGGATCCCGGGGGACCGCCGCTCCATGCCCCATGACGTCCATCTACAAATGTGTCTCTCTTGGCTTATAGACTTCACTGTGACCAACCTCAGCATCTTCTTCAGCTTCGTCGTGCTGCTCTGCGGAGTCCTGGCCTACTCCCTGGGCCTCCAGCTGTTCTTGCGGCGCCGGGGAAAGCTGCCCAGCGTTCTGGTGAGTCTCACAGGAAGGCTGCTGCCCCATCCTTCCCAGACACACCAGGACTCCAGGACACAGGTGCTCCTTCCCAGACAGTCCCTTCTCTCAGCCCTGACATGATCAGGAGGCACCTTCCTCAAGCACGGTGCAAAAGCCCAGTGCTGAGAATGTTGTCTTCTAGTGGCCCAGATAAGATATGGACTGAGCAGTCCCAAACCCCACCCACATGCCATTTTGTTACTATTTACTAACCATCGGCCATGGACCAGTCCCTGTGTGTTAATACCTCTGAGGCAGGTACCTTTATTATCCTCATTTACCGGTGAGAAAACTGAGGCACAGAACCAGGAGGAAGAGTCGGGAGGGAGCCCGTCTTTCCCACTCCTAATGGCTGGTGGTGAGTTCTCTGGAAGAGGAAGAACAAAGGGCTGGAAGTGGCAGCCCTTGGGCTGCCCTCGGAGTGGGAGAGCAGAGTAGAGAGGTGATGTTCGTGGAGGAGGGGTTCGTGGAGGAGGCCAGGGTCTATGACCACCCCCCCTTGAGGGTCTCCTCTTGCTACACAATGCTGATAAATGCTGCATTCGTGGTAAGCTAGCCTCCAAAGCTCAACTTGCAGCATTGAGCAGCATTTCCAAACCTCAGCCTGTCTCTGGCATGGGATTCGGGCTGCTCCGAAAGTTGCCCGCCACGTCCCCCTCAGCTGGCTTACAGATGGAAGCGGACCCTCCAGAAAGATCCCAGGGTCTCTGGAAAGAAATAAAGAGAGAGACAAAGACCCTCTGAAATTATTTTGAGTAAGAACTCTAGGAAGTGGGGAGGCAGGGACAGAAGAGGGGTGTGACTACCTGGCGCAATTAGGATCTATTGGGTTGTTGGAAAAATCATGACACATTTTTGCAACGAAAAACAGAGAAAAAATACGTCATGACTTTCCCAACAACCCAACATGTCCAGGCAAAAAGAACTGTGTTCCTAGCTGCAGGGCCCTGGGTAGAGAGGTATGACAAGGAGACCAGGAATAGGCAGCCCCTATAGCCTTAGGGCCTTATAAAGTGCTTCCTCATGTCTGGCTGCAGTGTGTAGCTCATTGTCTTTTCTCTGTGCCGTGTGGAGATTCAGGTCCACAAACGTGCGCATTGGCCTGTTTGACAAGTACTTTGAGCATATTCTATGTGCAGGGCCCGGAGCTGGAATGGGTGGTGTAGAGATGAATGCAACAGGGGGTCTGCTGTCAGGATGGATAACTGGAAAGTGGAGGGGTGGGGGAGGGTGGTCCTGGCACACTAGATGGGAGATCCTTAGTCAGCAATCGGGAAACACATCTAGGAAGAGAGTAAATGTGATGGCAATTGAGCTCCAGTATCTGAGCACCTCCAACATGCTGATTAATGTGGCCCTGGGTCCCAAGGGGCTTGATTACTGCCTGGTGGGTAGCCAGAATGTAAAGCATTAACTTTAATGCAAACCAGTAAAATAGACATAGATGCAAAAATACCAAAGGAGATGTCAGGCAACCTCTGGTTCCTTATTCCTTCTGTTTGTTTGGATCAGAATTGAGCTGTCCTTGAGAGTTTTCCCTCCTCAACACAAATACAGCCCAATTCCTTCATCTAATGATCATGGTCATTACTAACTTTATGAATAACTTGTAATGCACAGTGCGTAGTGCACTTTCACATTCCTTAGCTTCTCATTCATTAGCTGCTTTGATCTGATCTTTCAACAATATATTAAGGTAAATATTAGTGGACAAGTGGGGATTTCAAATCAGCTGTTACATATAAATTCCAGGTTTGTGCTTTACTGCTGTGTGACTTGGGGCAAATCACTTAACTTCTTTGAGGTTTCATTTTTCTCCTCTAGGAAATAGAGATAATAATACTTCCTTAGAGAATTATTGGAGAATAAAATTCAATTCACCAAATATTTATTGAGTGCTCCCTATGTACCAGACACTGTCATAAGCACTTTACATGCATTAACCACAACATGAGGAGGGAGATTCTATCATTATTTCTATTGTACAGGTGAGGAACTAAATCACAAAAAGGATAAATAGTTTGGCCAAAGTGACACAGCTGTTAAGAGGCAGAGCTGGGATTTGAACCCATGAAGTCTGACTCTAGTATACACATCCTTAATTGCCAAGCCATGTACTATTTTGTTTGTTTGTTTGTTTGTTTTTGTTTTTGTTTTGTTTTTTGTTTTATTTTTGTTTTAGCTGAGCCATCCTGCCACCTGTTGGCAGATCAGCGGCTGCTCAGCTCGGGCCGGGACTCGAACCGCAGTTGCTCAGAGCTCACACTCTTGAGCGAGCTCTTAACCAACTGAGCCACTCGGCCGGCCCCCAAGCCATGTACTATTATTAATAGGGACTCAACCAGTAAGAGCTGCATTAGAGTCATCACATACAAAAAGAATGAGGACAAATGTGCCACAGTGAGTCAGTAAGTCAGTCAACAAACCTTATCAAAGCCTACTATGTGCCAGCTCAGTTTTAGCTTTGAGAACAGAGTGGCAGACAAGACTAGATAGCAACTGCCCTCAAGGAATTTGTATTCAGTTGTGGGCTGTGGAACGATTGTGTGTATATGTGTGTGTTGGGGGGCAGGATGAAAACAAATTTAAAAATAATTCCAGGAACTAAGTGCTAGGAAGAAATAAACTAGGTTAATATAGAGACAGTGGATGGAATGGAATGGATCAGATCACAGTACACAGGTAGTAGTAAGTTATTTTGTTACACTGGATTCAGTTATTTATATATGAGTTATATATTTATGGACTATTTATATACAGGTTATTATGGAACACATTTCTTATTTCAGGTCATAGTCAAAAGAGTTTGAAACATACTTCTAGATCTAGATGGGTCCAGTCTGCTCTCAAGTTTGAGAAGCACAGCCTTTGAGAACATTTACCACTCTCTGCAGGCTCCCATTCTGCCTGTCATTCCATCTGGGCCCTGCGAATACAGGCTGCTTATGTATCTGCCCTGAGCCAAACTAAGAATTGCATTAGGTGGGAAACTCGATTCCAAAACGAAACAAAAAGAGCAAATGGCTGTGTACTCCAGGCTCTGTAGTCCCCTTCTCTTGGAGCAGTACCTCCTTGAGCTCCCCTCCTGGACCCGTGGCTCCCCTGGAAATACTGGGGTGGGTTCCTACACATGACCCTCAGCCTCACCCACTCTGCCCTTTCCTCTCCAGGTCTTCAAGAAGCCTAGTTCCTTCAGCCTCGTCAACCAGCTTCCCAGCTCAGAGACCCAAGACACCATCCATCCCCTTGATGAAGAGGCCTTCCCCAAGGTGTCCCCAGAGCTGAGGAACTCAGAGCTGCATGGCAGCACGGACAGCGGCTTTGGCAGTGCCAAGCCATCCCTGCAGACTGAAGAGCCCCAGTTCCTCCTCCTTCCCCCACACCCCCAGGTTAGAGAAACTCTGGGAAAGGGGGTACCCTTGGAGCTGGAGAGCAGCTGCAGTAGTGGCAGCAGCAACAGCACAGACAGTGGGATCTGCTTGCAGGAGCCGAGCCTGAGTCTCGGTACAGGGCTCAACTGGGTGCAGCAGCTGCGGAGCAACAGCCAGGGCCAGGATGACAGTGGCATCGGCCTAGTGCAGAACTCCGAGGTGCAGCCTGGGGGTGTGCAGGACGGCTCAGCCTCGGGCCATGTCAGTCCCCTGGAACCTGAAGTGACTGAGGAGGAAGACCCAGCCATGGCATCATTCCAGGGCTATGTGAAACAGACTACAAACACAGAGGAGAAGGCTGCCAAGGCAGGTTGCCTGGAGGAAGAGTCCTCAACAGATGCCCTTGGCCCCCAAATCAGGATATGCCCGGATGCTGAGGAAAGCTGGCCTCCACCAGCCCTGGCCAAAGGCTATTTGAAACAGGATCCCCCAGAAAGGACTCTCAACCCCTCAGGGGCCCCAGCTGGACAGTGGAACCAACCAATTGAAAAATGGTCACTCCTGGGCTTGACCACCTGTGGTGACCTAGGAATATCTGACTGGAACTTTACCCATGATCTTGCCCCTCTGGACTGTGTGGCAGCCCCAGGCAATCTGCAAGGCAGCTTTGACTCAGACCTGGTCACCCTACCACTGATCTCCAGTCTGCACTCAAATGAGTGACTCAAGCTAAGGGGCGACTTTTTATTTCTGCCTTGTCTTGCTGGACTATGAGGAGGGGCCCCAGGGGTCAGAAGTGAAACATGATGCCAGCCTGGGCACTTTTCTGCAAGCCCATTGGGGCCAACCCTAGCCAGGCCCAGCAGGGCTAGCTAAGGTGCCAAAGCGGGAGGAGGCCATCTTGCTAAACTAGCACAGAGTGCATGGGTAGCCTATTCTGTAGACAGGGCCCTGTAGACTCTGGCAGAGCTGAGAAGGGCAGGGCAGAGACTCTTCCCTCTCAAGACTCTTCCTATATGATAAGGATTATTTGCTCGGGGATATCATGGGGTTTTCTGGAGTTATGGTGGGGCCGCCAAGCTGAAGTCAGCTCAGACTCAGGCCTCCCCCGCTTAAGCCTCCATCTTGTTGGAGGCTGGGAGGATGCCGGCTTGAGGGCCTCATTTCTAGGGGGAATAAGAGGGAGCAGAGACCAAGTCTGATCTCTGGGATGGTCAGCTGACTCCTAGCCTGGGATGGTCCCAGGGAGAAGCTCCCCCAAGGCAGGCCTCCCAGGCAGGGAGCTTGTTATGGAAGATCTTAAGGTGTGTCTGCCTTGGTCAGCCAGTCAGTCAATCAACCATCATGATGGAGCCACAGGAGGATGAAAGAGGGCTTCTGGCTCAGAACCCATCCCTCTGAGGATGTCTCGTGTCCTTACGCAGACATCTCCCTCTTTCCAGCAATAGAGCAGCGTCCCTCTCAGGTACCTGCAGTGGCCAAGCCACTCACTGTCTCCACCCTGCTGCCCCCACCATTTGCTGACAGTCCCAGAGAAACCATGGTGGTTTGTATTGGTCAAAACGGAGCCCTCCAGGCAGCCTCTGGGTTTGAGCACCAGTTTGCCTGCCCCAGAGAGTCAGGGTTGGGACCTACACTTGAGTTTGCTTCTCACATCCAGCTATAGACCCACGGGACAGGGCACTGGGCTGGGATCCCTGCTCTGTCAGTGTTCAGCTGCATGACCTTAGGCCAGCCACTTCTCAAAGGGCCTCAAGTTACCCATCTGTGAAATAAGGGGCCCTCCATGCTGGGTGTTAGCCAAGTTGGTCTCTGGGGTGATATTTCCAACCGTGTCTGATCCTGGGCTGGGAGGAAGTGGACTGTGGAACTCATGTCTGCACAGAGCCAGCTTCTTTCTCATGCC